TTTTTCCTTTTATTCTGGCTCTCGATCTTCTTCATCTGTTCTAATCTGAAGGCTTTAGCAGCCGATTTATCGAACACCGCACTGCATCGTGGGCATAACGACACATCTTCGTCTTTTTCTTTCTTCCTATTCAAAAACTCAATGAGGGAATCTCCTGATCGAGGGTAGATCTCCTTTTCGAACTCCTTCTCGAATTCACTCAGGTCAAATTCCATATCTTCCTCAGATACATCCATCCTAACGTGTTTGGGATCAATGTCTTCAGTAACATCGACCATGCCTATAAAGGCCAAATTTGTCAATCGGACATCCTCAGTCATGGTCGTTTGGGATTCGAGGTATCCTACTTGAGCCTCGAAGGGACTCGTGTCGACTTTCATTGTCATTTCTTCGAACTTCAGCCTTCCTTGGTCGATCGCATCTTGGATCGTGTTCCTGAAATGTATGCAATTGCTAGTCCAATGTCCATAAACATTATGAAATTTGCAATATTTTCGACCATTCCTTTGTTCTGCAGAGGGCAGTTTATGATCATCACTCAATTTAATCTGTTTATCTTTCAATAAAATATCGAAGATTTTATCGGCCTTATCAAAAGTATATGTTCGATTTGCCATTTTGTCTTTTACTTCATTTTTCTGTAGTAATTTACAGATATATGGAGCTCCTACTTTGAGCTCGCTATATTTACTTTCTCATCGACAGTCTTTTCCACATCATTCTCTCGTCGTGGGATCTGTTTCATACACATCATTTATATATGCTATTCTTTCTTTCTTCATTGGTTTCTCAAATTTCTTATATCTTTGTTTTTCATATTCAATTTGTTCTACTCTTCTCACTTTATCAGCTAACTGAGTCATGTCATTTAATGGTAAATTGACTAACTTTTTCCTAATCGAAAATTCTAAGCCTGCAGAGGCCATTCTGACTAATTCATATTCAAGAATTTGAGTAAAGCATCTCGATTTCATTTGTCTAAATCGATTCAAATAATCATCTATGCTTTCATGATTGTATCTTTTTATATTCATCAGGTCGATGAGACTTACTTGAGTTTCTCCTCTAAAGAATTGCTCATGAAAATTTCTTTCCAATTGCAGCCAATTATATATCGAATTGGGTGACAACGAAGTAAACCAAGTAAAAGCATTCTTAGTCAAGGAACTAGGGAAATATTTCATTTTTAATTCTTCGCTCATCGCCAAGTCCCCACATTCGATCTGATATCGAGCTACATGCTCGATAGTTGATTCACCAACTTCTCCAGCAAATTTGGTGAATTTAGGTACTTTGTATCCTCGAGGTAATTCCGTCTCGAGAATCGTATTTGGAAAAGGAGACACAAAGTATGTTTGGTTGGGTGGTCTAAATTCTATCCCTTGGAAATTCATCCTTTGTCCTAACATGTGATTATTTTGCATGTTATTTTGATTATACATGTTTTGAAATCCCTCATTCATATTTCCATAAATATCATTTCTCCCATGTTGATATTCATTCCCTATTTGTTGATCATTGTTCCGATTTCTCCTCAATAGATATGGGGGATTAATGTTAGCATTCTGGTTAACATGATTTTCTACCCTTGTTTGTCGAGGTATTGCCAATGCATCCCCGATACGTGACATTTGATCTGCTAATATCTCGAAACTAGCAGTAGTATTTTGAACTAATGGATTTAAGACTGTAGTCAACTGTTGTGATAACAAATTTACCATTTCAAAGTTGCTCTCATCCATTTGTTGCCTAAGTATTCCTAATGAGTTACCTGGAAACTCCAGTATCGCATTATCGAGAGTCTCAAGATTAGATCGGTGATAGTCCCTATCAAATGCGTATCTCCCATGATCCAAGTTTCCTCTATGATCTAGATTTGGAGGTGTCTGTTGTGTGCCTAAATTCTGTCCGCTCCCTGAATTCTGGGGGATTGTTAAGTTTTGAGATGCCCCTAAATTTGGAGGGACTCCAAAATTTTGCGGCATACCTAGTGTTTGAGGCATTCCTAAGTTATATCTCGGAATTCTATGTATCGATGAAGTACCGGCCCCATTCATATTATTGAGCGAAAACCCAGGTAGTCTTACACTCGTATATGGCCCTGCATATGTTGTTGTGGGGTTTCCCATATTTTGTATATTATTCGGTGCCACTGTACTAGATCCTACTTGGGTGTTTGCTATTGTGCCTGAATTTTGTTCATTACTCACAGGTATCGACATACTCGTAGTTGTCGATGTTATAGACATACTCCTATTGTGCCCTTGCCCCCCAGTATTTGGCGGAGGCACACCACTTAGACCCTCACTGTTACTCTGGTTATTTGATGAATTCTGGCTCATTCTTATAACTCTCCCACTCCTTAATCTCATACACTTTCGAACTAACCAATTTTGTGTTTTTCAACACAAATCAACCCCCTACCTGGCGCGCCAATTTGTTTCTGGTGGAATTTAGATCGATTTCGACTCCTAAGATATTTTGATCCTAATCAAAATTCTACCACGTAAGTTCTTTTTGCTTAGGCTAGCAAATTAATTTTCAATCAAAATGTGTATGAGGATCGAATTTTACCCGATTTCAAAGATACTATTTTTGGTGTTTTGTATTAAGAATACTCGAAGTAAAGAAAGCAGAAAATGTATGGAATCGAAAAGTTGTGCTGGAACTTAGACTGCTAAAAAACGTAAACTACGAAAATCTTAAATTTGCTTTAAGTGTAAAAGACAGGGAATCGAAACAGCAACAATGTAAATACCGAGAAATCGAATTTGTAGGAAATGTAAAGGACAGTAAATCAAAGGTGCAATAAATGACTGGAAATCGAAATTGCATTAATGTAAAATGACCAAGGAATTTAAACACGGATACTTAACTTGCATTGAATCGAAATGACGAAGAATCGAAAATACAGAAACATAAAATTGCTGAATATAAAGTGCATCAAAGTAAATTACCAAGGAAAGTAAAGAAAGCGGTAAAGGTACTCGATGAGCATGGAAATCCAGATTGCCAGAAGCTTCATGGTGTTCGTCGTTTCTCCGGTAGACTTTTTCACTACTAATCCTGTTCTCTGCCAATTTCCCCCTCCTCCCGTTCCTTCCTCCTTTGCTCTATTTATAGGGTATCATTCAAGCCTTCCAGGGGCAGTTAACAAAACTGCTACCACGTTCTACGTGCATGTTGCAGTTTATCTTCTACAGTTTCCCACGTTCTCACGATCTTCGACTTCTATTATGGTTTAGAAACTGCTTCCTATATGTGCGTTTGACTATTCTTCCTTTCACGGTTTGGCCAAAGTCTCGATGTCCACGTCGGTTGGCTTTCTTCACTCTCGATTTAGTGTTTTCGAGAACTCCAAATTGCTTACGATCCCTTTTTAACCTTGATCTCATATAACTCTAATTTCTTAGTTTTTATTCGACAATAGGCATTTGGTTATCATTCACTCAATTCTCGATCAGTGCTTCTCGATGTTATGTGCTACGTACTTCTAATTAGACATCGAATGATTTTTTATCTATCTTATCGATTTATCAATCAGTCATATTTCTTTCCTTCGTTTTCGATCGCTTTTCTCGATTTTCCACTAACACCATGATTATTTAACCTCTATTTCTCTTTTTATATTTAGTTTAAAAGAAATTACTTGTTTGAGTAAACTCTAAATAGTACTAATTTTTTCTCATTTATAAATATTCTTTTTTGAGGGACATGTTACTCCTTAAAAAAAATATTATATTAATTATATTTTCTTCAGTGACGTTTTACTTAAGTAAATTGTTACCTAATGACTTTTTATTTTAGTGATAACTTCACTTTATTTTCCTGTTATTATTTCTAAACTTAAGTTGTAGCCATTTGTCAAATATTAAAATCTTTTAGAAAATTTGTAATGAGACTGATATTTAAAAAAAATTAAAACAGTTTAATCTTTTATTTATAATATTGTCAATCCATTAACGCATGTTTTATTTTAAAACATAAATTTAGATATGGTTAAATTGACATTGTTGATCCATAACATTAATTTTAACAAACAAACAAATTTTAAGGCTTATAATATAGACGTAGCGATAATTCATAACCAGTGTATTCATAATTTATAAAATTGAAAACCTCAATTATAACATACAAAATTTCAATTTATTCATCGAACCTTTTTTCAATAACTTAATCAAATTAAATAAAAGAAATAAATAACAGAACTTAAAAGGTAATTAATAAAAGAAGGTTAAATTGACAAATCTAAACTAATTTGATTTTAGTTTTTAAAACAATTAAAAAACCACTTGAAGAGCTCTAATATATTAAAAATGATTAAGAGTATCTTTTTATAATATAATTTTATTTTTACAATAATAAATCATCACTTATGATATAATAAATATAAGCATAATATTCACAATAGAAAAATACTCATACTTAAAAAATTAAAATTATTTATTATATATTTTATTTTAGGTCTGGATAATATCACAACCTGCATCACAATTTTATAATTAAAAAATTACTTCAACTTAATAAATTCTATATATTACTTTTAAACGATTTTGAACATTGACACGAAGATGTAACATATTTCATTTATTACGTATAAGGTAGGTATAATTTACACAAACAAAACATAGAGGAATATTTATTTGTTATTTTTTTAATTAAGTTTTATATTTTTGAAATAGATTATATATATATAAGTTAAAAATTAATTAAAAATGTATCAGGATTTAATTATTCCAGTAAGTTGTAATAACAATTTTAAAAAACTACATTCATGAATATATTTATTTTATGTATATAAAAAATAATTTAATTTAAAAACTATTAATAATATATATTCTGATATTTTTTTTTGTGTTTTTATAAAATGTACATATGTTCTTCCATGAGGAACTGATAAGTTGAACAATCGAAGGTAAAAAGAAGCAAAATCAAAGAACAGTGTTTGTGTTCATCGTGGAGTATTCTTCTCTTTGAATCATTCATTCCTCTCTCTGAACATGCCCTCTGCTCAGGATCCATTTTACGTTGTCAAGGCCGAGATTCAAGAATCGGTAATTTTCTTCTTTGATTATTTTATTTTGTTAACGATTCGGACAAGGTTTCCCATCCCCCTTGGATGATTGATGCTGCGGATTTGAGTGAATGAAGGCTAATTTGTCTATTTTGTTTTTTTAGTTAATGGTCTTATTAGTTATTGACATTTCATTTTGTGTCTCTTAGGCTATTATTAATATTAATCTGATTAGGTTTTTTTCTACGTTAATTTGGGATTTTTGAAGGAAACCCGATTGCGATCTGTGGCTTTGTAGTGGATAGACGGCACGATTTCTTGTGGGTGTATCTGATTGGAGCATAGAACACACTGAAAAAGAATTTTACTGTGTGTGAATTTGGGGTTTTGGGTAGAATTGGAGTGGGATCTGTGATTGAAACAGGATATTATGCTAAGCATAATTGATCAGTTTTTTATTCTGTTTTTTGAAATGGGATTATGTTTAATTGATTGCCTAATTTTTTGTTAATTTCTGTGAAGATTGATAACCTGCAATCTACTTTTCATCAATGGGAAAACACATCCAATGCTGCAGAACAAGGACGTCTGAGGAAGGAGGTTCGTGCTGGATGCGAAAGCATAGAGTGGCAGGTAGACCTATTGAATGCGTATGCGGAATCAATATGATAGAATGACTTATTGTTAGATCATATATGAGCTTTTTCATTCTTGCAACGTGTTCTTGCCATAAGTTGCATTAATTCAGATCTAGCAGATTAGACATGCTTTTTGGTTCTCCAATATCTTGGTGATTTCTTGGAGGGCAGGATTTGATGATTTCATTTAACTCTCTAAAACACTTCAATACTTACCTTTTTTACTTCCTTGAGTTTAAGGTCTTTTATTCTGCGACCTAGCCTATATACAACTCCTGAAGTGTGGTTTTTGATAGAAAGGTGGATGAATTGGATAAAGCAATTGCTGTAGCCTCTAGAGATCCTTCTTGGTATGGAATTGATGCAGTTGAACTTGAAAGCCGAAGGACATGGACAAACGGTGCTCGATCTCAGGTATGTGAAATGTATGCCATTTTTTAGTATGTAACTTTTTCTAATATTCCAATGCTGTTTTATTTTCTTATATACACCATGCACAAAATATTCCTTTTTATGTTGCATTATTAGGTTGACACAATGAAGAAAGCATTGGAGGCTGGGAAGAGCTCAAGTACCACAGGCCACGCCAGTGTAAATGGGATGCGCCAAGAACTCATGAGGCTACCAAATTCTCATCAAAGTGATACGTACAACCAGTATACTGGCCGAGATAATGATGATTTCATACAATCAGAATCAGATAGACAAATGCTTCTTATAAAGTATTTCTTCCCCCTCTCTCTCATGCTAATTGTACTGGATTTTTGGATGTCTTTTGTTCTGCTAAGGCATAACACTTTTTTTTAAGTTGACTTTTGTATATCTTTGTCAGAATAGACTCTAGTAATAGCCATTTTTCTGCATATGTGGTGCATAAGAATGTCTTGTTTGGTTGGTTGATTAAATTATTATATAGGTCATCCTCCCACAAGCTTTCTAAGAAATGAATGAAATGCTTCTTATGTGCATGAAACTTGTAACAAATTATTTTTTGAGCTACAAAGCGAGTCAATCCACAGTGTCCTCCTGCCATCAACCCCCAAAGTGGGACGGGTTAGCTTGTTGGCGAAAAATGGGTTGAAGGGTGCAACCCACCTTGTTTCGTGTCAGGTCAGTGGGTTAGCCAATCAAGGAGTAAAAGGCTGGTCAGGAGGTGGACAATGATGGGTTGCCAACCCACCCAGATTTAAAAAAAAAAAAAAAACTCAATTAAATTTCAGAATTTAAGTGTATTTGTTAGTTGAAAATTGTTGTACTAATAAGGGATGACGTCCAGCGGATCAACCTGCCAACCCGTTTAAAAAAAGCGGGGTGAGTTGATATTTTTAGTTGGTTAACCCGTTTTCATCTGTCCCGCCTAACCCGTCATCCGGCAAGGACGGGGCGGATTGGTCCGTTAACCCACTTTAAAAAATATTTATATATTAAAATAAAAATAAGAATGATTATAATTAAAAATATTATATTTTTTGGTGTTACGTCGTTGAAATATACAAATATATTATAATATTATAATTTAAATTATAAATATTAACCAATTAAGTTTAAATTATTGATTATAATTAGGTATTTTAATACATAAATATAACATATTTCAATTTATCTAATAAAAATATTAATTAATAAATAAAAACTTAAAATTAATTATATAATTAAAGGTTTATTAAAAAAAATATAAAAAATTTATATAATAAAAAATACTGGTGGGTTAGTCTGCCAACCCTCTACTTGACGGGGTGTGTTGGGGTGTGTTGGAGTATGTAATCCGTCCTGACTAGGGTGGGCTAGCCTGTTTAGTTTCATTTTTGGCGAACTAGAGATTGAGCGAGCCAAAACAGGGTGAGCTGATCCGTTTTGTCATTCCTAGTATTAATGGAGTAATTTAATAGATTATTGTTACAACAAATTGCATTGTTTATTGTTTTAAAGAATTACATTTTTTCTTCTAAAATTACAAAAATAGTTGGATGCAAATTAGAATAGTTTTGGTAAATGGTGATGCATTTAAATTGGCTTTTTAATTCGTTTTGTCACCCTTACTATTTGTTGAATAAACTGTGATGTTAAATTTAAGTGATTATTCTGTGTGATTGCAGGCAAATTTTCTCCTTTTCACATCATTTACTGCTTGTAAATTTTTGTTTATGAAATTTTTTTTCCCATTATCTTTTTTTATAATTATTTGGGTGATGTTTGGATCTACTCCTGCCATTTACGTATCTTTGTGTGGTTAAACTTCTCTATATGCACTTTTAGGAAAAGAAACAAAAAAGAATTTTCGTTAACTGAAATGAGCTTCTTCAGTTACTGCATGTAAATTTTTTGTTTGTGAAGAAATCTTCTCATTATCATTTTTTATAATTATTTGAGTGATGTTGGATATACTCTTGGTGTTTACTTACATCTGTTTGGATAAACTTCTCTATATGCACTTCTAAAAAGGAAAAAAATCAATTTTCGTAGACTAAGATAAGCTTGTTTATAAGTTCAGATGAATTCAAGCAAAAGTTGATTAGTAAAAGTTTTCTCATATTAGTTTTTTTAAAGAGATCATTTTTATTTTATGCATAAGCTAATTTTAGTTTATAGAGATTTTTTTTATAATTTTTTTCTCCGAAGTATTATAAAGAATTTTTTTAAACAGACCTTCCAAGTAATTACTGCAATGGTTGATTTCTTTTCTTCTTCGTGGAACGAAAAAGAAAACAGAAAAAGAGTAATAAAGTCATTAGTAGGTAACCTATGAAAAGGCCAAAAGCATGAAATACACTGCTCAAGAATTTTGAAAACCTTATGCCCATGTTTATCCTTTCTGGAAATGCAATCTGCTTCTGGTTTCTATTTCAGTTTGATTTATGTATATCTCTTGTGGTGATAGGAAACAGGATGAGGAATTGGATGAGCTTAGTGAAAGTGTACGAAGAATTGGAGGTGTTGGACTTACAATACATGATGAACTCACTTCACAGGTAATGGCTTGAGAGGTTTTACTCCTTGATATTTTGCTGTAAAACATTGATGGCTAGGGAGTTATTTTTGCCTCTACCTCTTTTTTTCTGAAATTTCTGATACTTGCACTGTCAAAATCAATCTTAATGATTCAGGATAAGATTCTAGAGGAACTTGGTTCTGAGATGGAAAGTACAACAAATCGTCTTGATTTTGTCCAAGTAAGTTTTTCAATCTATTCATCATTTCTCCTTCAAATCGTCTAGTTTGGTTTTATCTTCGAGAAATTTATTACTTGAAAGACACAAATTTTACCTCTAAGATTGCTGTTATTAATTAATGACAAAGGAAAAATATTGTGACGTTGATTGTGATACATGCCAATTCTTGAAGAGGTTGATATGTAACTATTATATTATGCTTGCAGAAAAAAGTGGGAATGGTTATGAAGAAGGCTAGTACAAAGGGTCAGATCATGATGATATGTGGTTTGCTGGCCTTGTTCATCTTCCTCTTTATCTTAGTATTCTTCACCTAGTCATTGAAATGGAATCAGTCTCTGTGCTCTTTGTACATGAAAAGAGATCTCATTTTTTTTGTTGAGATTAAAGATTAATAATGGAAATGCATTTAACTATTAGTTAAATGTGGAGGCCTTATTGTTTTATGTTTCTGGAAGGTGGTAGAAATTTCTGATTGTGATGAAAATGGGGAGAATGTATTGTAAGATTTATAATAGGATTTTGACGCTGATTATATTGGATTAAACCATTTTCTGCTGCATCAAGTGTTTCTTTATTATTGTTTCTCATTGATTTGACAAATTTGGTCTTTCCACATCAATATGGCAATATTTAGTTAATTTGGCTCTTGGCATTCCGAGTGCGTCAATTATCTATAATGAAGGCTTCCGTGAGGGACGTTAATCGCTAAAAATATAAAACGAGACTATTTACGAAAGTGTAAATTTTAAAATTAGGGTTTGTGTGATTTAGTTTTGTTTTTTAATTTTTAAAAATAGACTTAGTAAACAATTTTGATAAGAGGACGAAAGTGGAAGATGATTTTATAAACTCATTGTCAAATAATTTTTAAAAAATATTATGATCTATTTTAGTTTGAATGTGAAAAGTTTTAGTTTTAAAATACTAAAATATGTTTTAAAAAAACAAAAAACAATCAATTTTTTACTAAAAAGTGTTTTATTTTTTTTCTCTTTGAAATAATCAAAATAGAAAGAAGATTATGTTTTTTAGTTTTTATTAATGATAAATAATTTAAAATTGAACCTTCTCAAATTCAATCCGAAATATTTGATATCTTTCCTTCATACTTTTTGTCCTCAGTTTACTACCTCGAAATTACATCATCTAATATTTCACCGCTCCATTTCATTTTTGAGACATTTTGATGCAAAACATTTTAACACGTAATCACATTCAAACCCCTTCCCCTAATATTTTATTCTCAATAAGTGGTTTTTTTTTTTTTTCATATGGTTCATATATCAATCATAACAAATTATTACTATAACAATATAATAACATTACATGTCCTAATACATTTCTCATACAATATGAAGACACGTTATAGATTAAGGTATTAATCTGGCTAGAATAATTAGTAGAATCTAAGATCTTATTAAATCTGTACAAACATAATTGTCTTACCACACTACACTGTGTCTCCCGAGTACTCACAATCACACACATTTCAGTTGATTATGGATCAACTCATTGTCTCGACTTATTCTTCCATACATAAATATATCTCAGTATTAAGAATATATAATACCAATATATCATCACCTAATTCATCACACATGTCATTTTCTTATATTTATAATAAACTAGATTTGTTTTGGACTAAATATTATAATTATGTATTTTTCGATATGATATTTTCATAACTTTTTACGTAAATATCTTTTTAGGCTAATTCTTATTTCATTGGATTTTTCATTTTAGGGTCTTTAATTTGAATATGTGGAACATAAAATTTAGAGTTCAGAGTTATCTCTTCAGCTTCCTCTTATTAATCCCGGGTTTAAAATCCACCAGAGTTCAATACTTTAAATTTAGAGAGAGCTTAGAGTGTTTTATTTTAGACAGATGAATGTTTTTAGAAACTATTCAGCATAACTTTCTATTTATAAAGGTTTTCAAGAAGTTGAATGTACTTTTATATTTATAAAATAAAAAATTACATGCTATAATCTCCCCATTATAAAAATTTCCATCATTGAAAATGAACTTACTGATAAATAAGTACGAATAGAATGCTCATGTCCTTTAAGTTCCCAATTCAAATCACCATACATGAAATCCCATATCACTTTCACCATACTGATCATTTGATCCCTAAATTGCTTAATTTGGTGATCATTTATTCGTACTGGTCAAGCTTCAAATGACAGGTTTTCTCTAATTTACACATTATCTAACTCTAGAACATGGCTTAGCTCATACACATATTTTCTCAATTAAGATACGTGGAATACATTGTGTATATTAACTAGTTATGGAGGTAACTCTAACTCATAAGCTATTGTGTCAATCTTCTCAAGTGTCTGATATAGTTCAATAAATTTAGGAGTCAACTTTCTACATTTGAGAGCTCTTCCAACTCCTGTAATGAATCTAAATCTTAACAATACATGATCTCCAATAATAAACTTTAATGGTCTATGTCTCTTATCAACATAAGACTTTTGTCTATTCATAGAAGTTCTTAGTTTCTCATGGATCTCTCGAACTTTATCAATGGTTTGTTATATGATCTTTGGCGCAAGTAGAACTTTCTCTCCATCCTAGTACCAACATAGAGGTGTTATGCACTTTTTTCCCTATATAGCTTCATATGGTGTCATCCCAATGTTGGCATGATGACTATTATTATACATAAAATCCACCAAAGGAAGTATCTTGTCCTAACTCCCCAAATGGTCCAACACACAAGATTACAAATCCTCCAATGATTGGATGGTCCTCTCTTATTATCCATTTGTTTGAGGATGATAAGTAAAACTTAATCTTAGTTGTGTCCCCAAAGCATCCTATAAGGGCTCCCAGAATCTGGATGTAAATCTAGGATTGAATCAGAAACTATACTAGAGAGTATATCATGCAATCTTACTATCTACTTGATGTACAACTAAGTTAACTTGGTCATAGAGATTCTCAAGTTAACATATAGGAAGTGAACATTCTTCAATCGATCCATTATCACCCATACTAAATCATGTGCCCTCATTATCCTAGGTAAGTGAGTAATAAAGTACATGGTTATGCTATCCCACTTCATTCTGGAATTTCCATTTGTTACAATAGTTCTGCTAGTCTCTGATGTTCCACCTTAGCCTCTTGGCATACTAGACAGGCAGATACATACTTAGCCACATATTTTTTCATTTTAGGCCACCAAAAGGACTCATTCAGGTTTAGATACATCTAGTCATGGTAGGAGGCAAACTAAGTTTACTTTTATCGCTCTCATCAAGAATAATCTCCTTTATCTCTTGATTAGCTAGAATGCACAGTTTATTCTGGAACCTCAGTATTCCATTTAATCTTATACTTGCGTCTTTCATTTGATGCATTCCCAACTACCGTTTTGTACTTTGTAATATAGGATCTAACTATTATCTCTCCTTGATCAATCCCAAGAAATCATTAGTTATAATAAGCATAGTACAACTAATGAGATAATGAGATATTTTGACTCCCAAGTTCACATCACTAAACTTTTTTCAACAATTTCAACTTTTCAATCGTCATAGTTGATATTTGAACAATTTTCTGGCTCAGGTCATTTGCAACCACATTAACCTTCCATGGATGGTAGTTTAACTGAAAGTCATGGTTTTTCAGAAATTTCATCAATCTCCTTTGCCTCATGTTGAACTTCTTTTGGCCGAAGAAGTATGTTAAGCTCTTATGGTCATTAAATACTTCAATTTTGGCACCATATAAGTAATGCTTCCATGTGTTCGATGTAAAGACCACCACTGCTAGTTCTAAATTATGGGTCAAATAATTCTTCTCATGTACCTTCAATTGTCATAAGCTACAACCTTCTTTTCTTGCATCAGTACACAAACCCAATCATTGGTAAAAAGCATCACAAAAGACCTCAAAGGGTTTAATTGTATTTGGAACAACTAACACTAGTGAGCCAGTTAATCTCTACTTTAACTCTAAGAAACTTTGCTTTAATTCCAAGAAATTTTGCTCACATTGATCTATCTAAGCAAATGGTTGATTCTTACGGGGTCAATTGTGTCAATGGGGTGACTATCTTGGAGAATCCTACTATAAATTTCCTACAATAACTAGTGAAGCTTAAAAAACTCTGGAGTTCAATAATTGTCTTAGTATGTTTCGACCTCAGTCTACTTTGGCGAGATCTACTACAATTTCTTCGACTGCAATTACATGCCCCAAGATTTATACTCTATCTATCCAAAACCCACATTTGGATAATTTAACATATAATTGTTTCTCCCTTAGAATATTCAAAACCATTTGTAAATACTCTTAATGATCTTTTGTAGTCTAAGAATAAATAAGTATGTCATCAATAAACACCATGACAAACTTATCCAAATTAGGGTGGAATGTCCTATTCATATAGTTCATGAATATTGTTGGGGCATTTGTCAATCCAAAAGACATGACCACATACTCATAGTGGTCAATTCGAGATCTAAAAATAGCCTTTTTACACATCTCATTTTTCACTAATATTTAATGGTATCTCGATCTCGAATAAATCTTCAAAAATATTGTTGCCCCATGAACCTGATCTAGCAAATCATATATCACCGAAAAAGGATATTTGTTTTTAATAGTCAACTTAACCTATAATCGACACATAATCTGGAGATGCACTCGACCTTATGAACTTTTTTCTCTAACAAATCTTTAATTTGTTTCTTTAATTCTGTTAATTCTGTTGGAGTCATCCTATAAGGAGCTATGGAAACTGGTCAAGCTCCCGGAACTAAAACAATCCCAAACTCCACTTCTCTTCTTGGAGGTAATCCCATAACTTCGTCTAGAAATGCATCTATATATTCATGTATCATAAAAATATTACTCATTTGATTGTTGCTAGTCACTTCCATTTGTGCCGGAATAATGAAACATTAAGCTCCATCTTTCAACTCATTACTAATTTGTAAAGCTGATATTATATCTCTTCCTTTTGAATTTGGTAGAATTACTTTCCTCTGACCATAACCGATGAGAATATAATTGGTAGACAACCAATCCATTCCTATAATCACATCTAGATCTTTCAAAGGCAAACTAATTAAATTTACCTTAAATTTGCACCTCTAAATCAAAATCAGATACTGAACACAAACCTTTGAAATTACCACCAAGCTAGATCTTGTTGTAATCATAATCAATTCAACAAATAATTCATTGGTAGGAAGTCTCAATTTCTTTACACATGCATCAATTATAAAAGAGTGTGTAGCATTAGAATCATATAATACTCTCAAGGTATTATTAGCAATAGAACACAAACCTTGCACCAAATCTCTTGATTATGAAGTCTTAACTCAACACAAAAACTTTGTCAATTGCCCAAGGCTTTGCATCACTCCATTTCGATCTAGAAGATGCAGCTCTTGAAGCTATGGTAACTGTCTTCCTCTGATCACAATCCTTCTCCTTATGCCCTGTCTTTTGACAAAAAAATACTGACAAGGAAAAGGTATTTGTGGTGTCGTTGGATTCGTCAATTAAGGACAAAAACTTTGGTAGTGTGACCCTCCACACCTAAAACATCTTACTCTCATTTGTTCCTATTGTGGTTGTTAAGTTACACTACCACTACTCTTACTCTATTGGGGTCGCGCATAAGGCTTCTTTCTAATCAACCATATTCTTTCCATTCAAAGAACCACTTGACTTACTGTTAAATACTTTGTTTCCACCCGTCTTAAGGCTCTCGTTGTCTTAGCCTTTTCTACCAAGACAAGAAACTCTCTAAATAAAGGTACCACCAGAAGTTTCAACTTTGTCCTTAAATCTTCTTCAAACTTCCTACACCTCTAGGCCTTAAAAGTCGCTTGGGGTGTAGAATTACGTCCAATGCTCAAATCTAGTGGCATAATCATGTACTTACATACCATTCTACTCCAGTCTAACAAATTCAACCTCGTTCTCAAATTGAGCACTCTCTAGGAAATACTTCTCCAAGAATCTCTTGCAAAAATTCTCCCTATCCACAAGAACTCAACTTTCTTAGTTAACAAAAAACGTTGCAAAGGCAACTCTCATATATTTAGGATTCTTCTTCACTTCTCGCATCGACTTCTCTACTGTATCTGGTCCTGCACTACCACTAAACTTAAGAGGTTTATCCGTGATAAACTCAGTCAATCTCATTTGCTCCACCTGACGATAAGGAGTAGAGGAAGTTATCATTCCCAACCTAACATTCCCCCATGCAACCTGTTGTTGTTGAGCCATTACAATACTCTATTGTTGCATTATAGCTACCATCATGTCCATAGCCCTCGCCAACGTGTCCACGTTCATTGGGGAGGAGGTCTAGGTGGTATGGGTGTCATCTTGTATAAACAATTTAGGGAAAATAAATTAGCAACATCTAACTTAGTTTCCTCACTTAGCAAACACACACATATTCACAGTAAAAGCACAACAAGCTCACTTCCCTTAAGTTAAACAAGGATACAATCAACTTTGATACCGTAATTATTACAACCCTAGAAATTGCTACTATTACAGTATATTGTGTTGTGAAGTAACTTTCATTGACTAAATGTGTAAAAGGGGTATATAATGTTTAACAAGTATTTAATGCAAAAATGATCTCTACTAGTACAAGATCATGTCATAAAATACAAATAAACATGTGTACAATACAACAAAAAGAGAAAAGAAACATTATATCTTAGACTAGTCATGTTGTTCAAATATAGTCTCCATACCTGTAATATTATATGCTCTCGTGTAATCAATACATTCATGGCAGTCAAGTCCATAAACAAGAAAATAAGGATAAGTTAATTATTCAAATGACAATTCACCATTTAACTTACCATGCATATAATATTAAACAAGTATATTATATCACATCAAATTTCATCATATCACATAATTTCACATCACATTTATATTTGACTAAGACATATGCCTTCCGGAATACTAATACTATGCTCCAAAATCAAAGACTAACATTTGTGGGTCACATTGAAATCAATATTGTACTAAATATTCTTTGACTACCAGTACCATTCTAGTTCTCTACCCACAAAGTAGGACTATTAACAACATTATCCAGCTTGATACACCTCTCTCATGATCTTAGGACAAGTTAACAATAATTCCTCCATCGACTCCTCGCCTACTAATACCTTAGTCTACTTGACCGAGTCTATAAGTGTAACTTGAGTTCACATTGAATCTGCACGAGCATAGTAACCACACTAACACCATATAGTAACTACTCGAGTACCCACAATTACATCTCAGTCGATTATGGATCAAATCTTTGGTTCGACTTACCCTCACATACACAAATATATCTAAGTATTAAGAACACACAACACCACCATATCATCTCCTAATTCATCACACATGTCATTTTCTTACATTTATAATAAATTGGATTTATTTTGGACTAACTACTATAATTATATATTTTTCATATTTGACATTTGCCTACTCTTCTAGTCATAACTTTATCTGTAAATATCTTTTTGGTCTAATTCTTATTTTATTGGATTTCTCATTTCTGAGGCTTTAATTTGAATATATGGAACATAAAATTTGGAGTTTAGAACTATTTTTTATAATTTTTGAAGTATAGATAAAAAAACACCCTAAGAATCTCTCTTGAGGAAAATATTTTAGCTTGAGTGAAAATTTAGCCACGTCAATTTTCTCTCCTCTTACTTGAGCGAAATTTTAGCTGACTTAACTCTTGCTTGAGCGAAAGTAGCCTTGCTTAAACAAAAATTGAATCGACTTAACTCTCGCTTAAACAAACCATCACCTCATTAGGTCATCTCTTCAACCACTTTGTCCTCGTTCAAGTGAATTATGTCTTGTTTGAGCAAAAATTGGCCCGAGAAGTTAGTTTTTTCTAAGTTTCTTGCTTTTTCCCTCCCAATACCCAAAAATATAACTCATTTGTATCATAAACATGTAATAGGAACATCAAATAACACCAAAATACATAAAAATTCCTTTCTACTCTCATGACAACACACTAGGACATATATACTTTCCTCCCAAACTAGTTATTACTTAAATAATCAACTCCCCTTACATGGATATTCTTGAATCTTAGCTTCTCTATACATATGTGCAACCCACAATTAATACTCCGATTCCAAAACTTGAGTAACAAACCCATATAACAATGATATATCTTATTACGTGGATTCTTCCTTAAACATAAAAATAACCAAAACCACAAAATATTAAAAATGACTTACTCATTTTGAGTCATGTATGTTCGGACAAAATCTTTCTTTATTCTTTCAACTTCCTTTTATTACTTTCGAATTTAAAATCCTATCAGAATTTCATTACTTTAAATTTAGAAAGATAAGTGTTTTATTTTAGATTCAATTTAAATTTCTATTTATAAAATTTTCCAACAGTTGAATATATTTTCATATTTATAAAATAAAAAAACTACATTATTATAGTTTATATGATAAGCAATATATATATATATATATATATATATATATATATATATATATATATATATATATATATATATATATATATATATATATATATATATATATATATATACCTATTGTAATGTTCCTCGTAAAGGTAAGACTGAGTAATCTGAACCCAGTCATTCAAAGTTTTAACCTAATTTATTTTTAGTTTTTATAATTTATGAATTTTTAAATTTTATTTAAATTTTTTTTTATTAAATAAGTTTTTTCATTTTCTCATTCTTAAAATAGTTTTTAAATTTTAATTATCATTTTTTTATTGTTCTCAAAAACAATTTTTAAATTTTTTTACTAAAACTACTTTTAAGATTGTCTACTAAAATTATTTATTCTCTAAAACTAAAAAAAAGAACTAAATTAAATAAGTCCTAGTTCTATTTTTAATTTTTAAAAATTATTTTAATAAACAATTATCAAATGAGTTTTTTTTAGTTTTTAAAAATTAAAATACTGAAAGCTATTTTTAAAATAAATAAATCATAAATTTATAAAAAAAAATTATTCAACTTTTTCATTTTTATTAAATATGAGATTTTAACATTAAAAATAAATAAATATAATAAAAATCTTACTCGTATCATGTAAATTTTAAGTTTGTTAACATATAATTATAGTTTACTCGTTAACCCTGCTAAAAATCATATCTGTAATTCTTTATCTTCTTGTTATCCGATACAGATCAGTGGCGGATCTTCTTGGGAGTTGAGGGCGCGTGGCCCCAAAGTTTTGTAACTCTCATGTAATTTATGATTTTGGCCCCCCAAACATAATAAACATTTAATATATTTACTTGTATATTTACAATTTTATCCTCTCAGTCCCTCCTCAGTTTTGTAACTCTCATATATAATTTATGATTTTGTTTCCCTCAAAACTTAATGATCATTTAATATTTAAGTATATATCTACACTTTTATATTTTCACCCTTTTATATTCTTTCTTCTTTTTATATTTATTTTTTATTTATTAATAATATATTATTTGACTCCTCCAAGATCAATGGTCAAGATCCGCCACTAGATACAGTCATGTTTCATTTGGTTGAGGTTGTCGGAATTTGTGTTCATGTTCCATTTCTTCGTTGGAAAGGTATATTGTCTAAAACAACATATCTACCATTTTCCCCCTCATTCAACTTTGTTAATTTTTTTTTTATAATTTAGAAATTATTTAATTTAGTTATTGGAGATTAATCTTCTTATAAAATTTGTTTGAAATATAAAATTATTTGTAAATATATTTTAAATTTTTATAAAGAAATTGATTCTAGATTAAATAAATATTAATCTTCTTTGAAAATTTGTCTTAAAGACAAAACTATTTGAAAATATAAATCTTAATTGTTGTAAGTTTTTATTTTTATTTAAAATTTAAATATATATATATATATATATATATATATTATTTTTCTCTACTTTTTTTATTTTTTCAGGTAAATTTAATAAATTAAATAAAAGCAAAATAAAAATACAAACACAGGTACGTTTCTGTTATATATAAATTAAATTATTATTTTGTTAAGTATTTGATAAAATTTTAAATATAATTAAATTTAAAATGATTAAATATATTTTTATTTGACATATATTATCTTTAAAATATTTTTTCAATTGAAAATTATTATCATGAGTTATTTTTTCAACTATATACAATATTTATCTATAAATTAAAAATATAATATATATATATATATATATATATAAATTTATAATTATTTCAAGTATTTATTTTATTATTGAGAATTGTATGATTATATTTGTTTGAATTTTTTTCTATCAAAAATATTATATTTTAAATGTATTTTTATTTTAAAAATCAGAATATATTTTAAAATGTTACTTTTTTTAATAATTTCATTAATAGAGACTAAATTGATTAAAATAAATAAATAATAGATGAAATATAATTAAATCAAACCTTTTCTTAGACAAAATACTTTTTAGATAGAATGTATGAAAAAAAGAAACGTGTATAATTCAACTTCATATCTATTTGATTGTAGTTAATAATATTGAAGCATTATGTGGATTATTAAAATAAAATAACAATTTTAATTGAAGGATAACAAAATTAGAAGGTAAGAGATTGTACTTAAGCTTTTTCATTGATCATCAATGAAACTTTGATAAGTAATTAACTATATTTTCTACACTAATAATATTTTTATATTGACTAAAGAAAATACAAGCGCTTTTGTGTACATGTATTTGTATTTTTTATTTTAATAAATTAAAATTTAATATTTATTATTTTTAAAATATAAATATTATTTAAAAAAAATATTAGATATGAGAAAAGATTTAACGAGAACATGTAGTTGAAGAAATAGAAAAAAAAGCAACAATTTATAAATATTTTATTTATATTTGAGAAAAAAATGAAAAAAAAAAGTGTGATTAGAGAAAAGAAAGAGAAAAAAGTTCTTGTTGTGGAAGAAAAATAAGTGAAAGAGAATATATAAGATAAATATTTATTAAATGATACTAAGGTTAACAAAAATCTCTTTATATATTTTATTGTAAATATATTGATATAGATATCATTGATGCTTTTTCAACGTAATGTTGAAAAACTGGTTTCTTGACACACTATGGATTTGAATCCTCTGTGCTTAAACTTCATGAGAAGTAGGCAGATGTACAAGGTAAGAGGGATTTCAATTATCATGAAAACTTGAAGAAAAATAAATTTGTCAAACTCTTTTTTTTTTTTTTTAATATAAAAGTTTACAATCTCAATTAGAAACTTGCATAAATTCAGAATTAAATTCAAATCAAATGTAATTTTTATCCTCCAATAACAATTTAAATAATTTAAAGAAATTGACTTTTTTTTTACTGTTTTAAATAAAAAACTTATATTTTTATGAATTTATATGATTTAATCATTTATGTAGTTTAATATTATTAAACGTTAAGGTAATGTCAAACTACGTTATTTTTGTGATTTGCAGGTTGTTGATTCTGCATAAATATGATGGTAGATATGATATAAGGAACTATGCTTTATGGTAGAAATTAGAGGTGTTTAGGGGATTTCTATAAAGTTGGTGTAAAGCATTTATGAGTCTCACATAAATATTTAGTAACCAACAAGGTGAGAGGATTTTGTCATGAGGAATTTAACAATTCAGGATAGCATTTCAGGTTATTTGGAAAGAACTAAGTTAATCATTATAACATGCAGACTCATTGCAAATGTATAAATAATCAGGTTATTTTATTGGTTATATTCTTTAAACAAGGTTCATCAATGAATCAAAATTTATAGAAACCTGAGAACACAAGAATTCTATCAAAATTCTTGAGGAACAAATACATGTCATACATGGCTTTTCAACATAACGTGTGGCTAATCCAAGTTCAGAAAGGTCTTCTAAGTTGTTATGAAAACTCAAGTTGGAGGTTGCCAGGTACCTGGTCTAAAAGATGCACCAGATCCAGTTGGCTCCGAAGACCTGAAAAGAAAATTTTGTGAACAGATAAATATATCAGAGTTAAAATATATCTCTGATGAAACCATTTACCATTTTTGGAACAATTGTTTAGTTAACCAAAATTAAGATTAATATACGCTTTGTCCAATCATTATCTTAGTTGGCTGAAGAATATACACATTTGGACTTACTCCGACTCATCTTTTGTTTTTTCAGCTAAACTCTCTTGAGGATTCCTGCAGAAAGATCACATGAGTACTATTAAGTTGAATAACTGTGCGTAAACTAGATTTTGCAAAAAAATAAACATGATTTCACAGCAAATAGAAGACACTAACAACAATTGCCAGTGATTAAAGAACATTTAAAACATGAGGAGGCAATAAATATGGATTCAAGACCATACCACTGAGATCAAAGTCATTTAGTCAAAGAATGTCATTTCCAGAGAACATAATCTGATTTTTTTTTGTGTATCAGTAAGAGTTCCCTCATACACAATCACTGGACCTACTCTCTAATTAATTTTTTTTATTAAGGGTATGTTTGGGAGTTTGTTCATCATGGTGGTTAATAGCCTTGAGAATATGGTTTTTTACCAAGTCTAATAGCATAATACAATTCATATAGCCAACTTCACCCAGTGGCTAGCGAGATAAGGGTATCACAATGATGCAACAGGAATAAAGATAAGACAGCCACGCAACTTCCTGACAATATTTTAATAAAATAATGAAAACTAAATTAATATCAAATTTTGGTAAATGAATAAGATAATAAAAGAATCAAAATTGTTAAGCTGGCCAAGAACTGCAACACATAGCAAAGCCCATGCATTTAGAAAATAAATTTAGGTAAAAAATCAGTCAATTTCAGAAGACTTACCTTAAGCCACCCATATTACTAGTTGATTCTTCCACGTCATTACCTAGAGTGGAGAAAATATGTTAAAAACTATATTCAAAGGATAGGTAATGTATAGATGTATAGCAAGAATTCCCTCTTTCTGGAAGTCATTGTCTCTTCTGTCACAAGGAGTGGGATAAAATCTCAGAATGGTGTTTATGACCAAGAAAAAGTAAACATAATCATTTGCATGAAGTAATACAAATCCTATTTGTTTTATTTTTCTTTGAGGGATAGGGGAACATTTTGAGATCAATCTACTTACATGCTTAATTTCAGTGTAAAATAATAAGTTTTCTTTCAAAAGAAAAAAAGCTCAATGTTTATGTAAAAAAGAAAAGGATAGTAAGACGACCTTCTGAAGGAACTGGAAATTGTTGAATAAAACTTTTCAAGTCTGGACCACTGGCTTTTCCTGCATAGAAGTTATATATTAATCAATAACTCCCAATAAATAAAGAACATTACTATATCAATAAAATTATAAGCATCTGACCAGGGCTAACACGTTTGCCTTTACTTCCTTCTTTGGCTATCCTTTCTTGTTCCTCTTTCTTGAGAACTTTGTGAAAAGAAAAAAAGTTTGTGTTAAGGTATAGGATGATAGAACTAAACTTGCCAAGAATGTTCTTTCATTATGATTACAACTATCGCATGAAATGCCAAGGACAAAGTTAGGATAAGAATATAATTAAATCAGAGTAAGATATTAAATTCACAAAATTAATTTGTTAAGGTGGAAGTATAATTGGTACATACGAGCAACATTCTGTCTGACTCGTTCACGTCTTGCTTCCAATTCCATCATTTCCTGAAGGGAAAAGTATTATCAAGTAATAGTAAAATACCATACTTTTCAAAGTGCCTAGTTACAAAAAAATTTACTTCCCAGAAAACATCCATAAAACATTACAACTTACAGGGTTAGCTTAATAGTTTGTTATCCCATTGCAAATAAGTTTTGCATATAAGTATTTCTGCAAAACTAATCAACTAAATAACTAAATTAACATGGATAGTCACATAACTCAATTTAACTCCCCAACCCAACAAAATGAAAGAAAAACCAAAATCAAGAAAAGTGGAAAAAATACGACAGAACGCTAAGACAGTTCTGCAGAAGAAGGGCATGGGATAATATAAATAATACAGAATGTTTCAAGAGCATTGTCCTATCTGATTAACTTATCCTTGTGGCTTTATCCTGTTATCGAGACTCAAAATACCAAATCTGAGATATCGTATGGAACTGAATTTTTTGCAGCGAAAAGCCCATAACAGAGTAAACTCAATGTTGCATTGGATAGTGGACAAAATCCGATTAGGAAAGAATGCATTGTTGCACTGGGGAAAAAAATATAGGATAGCACCTACTACAGAAAAAAATAGTACAATCTTCAGTTTTGGTGATTTAGGCATGTGCCGAATAAACCTACAGAAGCCCAAGGAAGGAGAATTAGATGGAGGTATCTCAGTCAACAGTGGGAAAGGGAGACTTGACAAAAATATGGGTAAAATCATTGAGTAGGATTTAGAGGTCAATGGTTATTTATAGACAAGATTCACAATAGAAGATTATGACATCTTTTGGTTCCTGTAACTAGCCCTGCCAAGAAGAAAAAGGCTTGGTGATCGTTGTTATTGAAAGAAGAATCACAAAGTTTTGATAATATATAGACAGATAAATAGAGACAAAAAAATCAATATTTATTCATTGCAAATGAATCCTTGAATATAAACAAAACTTTGAATGGAAAACCAGTGTAAGCAACATTAAGTTATCTAGCCGAGCCATGACTGAAAATGTAAAGAAGCATCAACAGCTTTGTCTTGGATAACTTTATGGTACTAGCAAATGATATATACAAAGGTGTATTGCAATTTACCTCTGGAGTCGGAGCCTTTTTACGCTGCCCATTCAACCAACATATCCATTCAACTAAAATAATTCAACAAGTAATTAACTCTTAAGCATAAGAAATAGGATAAAGATTTTTTTTTCTTCATAAATTCAACATATAAAATAATTGGATCGATCCCTGAATCAAAATGTAATAATAAATGTAATAATTTAGCAGTTGAATGTCGACCAGTGTAAAATATATACCTGGAATAGAGGTAGGATCCTCCTCTCCCTTAAATATCACCCATCTTTTCTCTTTCACTAGTAAGCCAGAACAAAATAGCAAAATCAGACGATTCACTATAAAATGAACTACAATGTAAAACACACAGAACAAAAAAGAATTCGAACCAGAGTTTTGAAATTCCAAATTCACACTCCACTAAAATGATATCTTAATTCTAAAGTGATTCAATCGAGCAGAAGAAAATAGTACCAAAAATTTAGTTGCCAACAAATCAATAAATTAATTTTATTTTTAATTATTTTACTTTCTAAAACAAGTTCAGTCTCAACCTTGTTTAAAGTTTCACGAAATCCTATAAGAGGCTCTGTACAATGTAGACATCAAACAAGAACCAATAACCTCAAAAAGCCTATGACAATTGCAATGTTAGTTCAACTACTTTATCTTTTGGATGTATACCAACAGGTTTCTTCCTTTGGAGATAATCCTGCGGAGGGTTGTATCAATTCAACCCCTCTCCAAGGTTTGTTTTTTCACAGAATTCAAATCAAGGACCTCCCACTTCAGAGTATTTATGTACACAATCATGTGGATTTGTATCAATTCAACTCCTCTCATTTAGTCAGAGTTCGAACCAATTACATCCTAATTAAGAGTATTCTTGTAAACCCCTCTCGGGCAAAACTCAACCTTTTTGGTTCATAACCATATCAACAACCAAAATAGAAAAGCAGATCAAATTAAGAAGATCACTAAATCAGGTATATTATACAAGTAAATGATTGATAGTGAGGTGAATATTGCAATGCAAAAGCACCCCTCTTTGGTAAATTACAGACAGAGTTCATACAAGACAAACTAAACATGTACAGACCCAAAATCTCAAAACGCAACAAAAAAACAAACTCATGAAACACACACATACAGTAATGATAATAATAACATAAAAGGGTTTATAGAGAGATAATGGAAAAGCACTTACTGACACCATCAACCTCTTCATTTCTAGTGAAATATTTGTTTCCTGCTTTGTCCACTCCCACCTTAGTTCGATTGCTCAACAACCCAGAAATCTTCCCAAGCAGTCTTTGCATTTTTTTTTTAATTGTACTTTTTTCCGTAGAATTCAAACGTGTTGCAGTGACAACATCGCTGTTGGAAAAATCCAACGTTGGAGATTGGAACTGCAAAAACTTGGAATATGATTTGTTTCTATTCAACGTTGATTCCAGAGAGGGAGTGTGTGAGCCACGGTGAAAAACGCACCAGCCCAAACGGAATAATAAATGGAGTAATTTACCAAACGCGCCCTTAGAGTGAGCTCTCTGAATGAAAAATTAAGGCAAACCATTCAATTTGTTTGTAATTTTAATTTCAATAATCTCATTTTACATTATTTTAAATAATCTTATATAAGTTTTTGTTTCATTTATGTTTATAACTTTTATTTATATTTCAATTTTTATAACTTGAAAAATATTTTTAATGCTTAAATATTAAATTTGAGAACTTTATCATATTATATTAACATATTTTAATAATGATAATGTAGATTTAAATTTTGAAATCTTAACTTATCACAGCCGAATTGACACCAAATATGGGTTTCAAGATCATCACGCTACTCAAGATCAAAATAGTTTAATGTCATTTATTTTATTCAATGTATGTTTTTATATATTTATTTTACCCCTAACAATATATCTATCTGTATATAGACAGAGAGGAAGTGCAAAAATCAATTCTTGCTTCAAATTCAGAGTTACTATTTGTAAACTGGGAAGCCCAATTTTCCAAGCCCAACCAACACCACTACACAAAACAAAACCGCCCAACAATACAACAATCCTTCTAAAAAAAAATAAACTCATTTTTCTATCCCATGTTTTCTCTATCAAAACCCCTCTTCGCTCCGGTTCGCCCCACCCAGCCTCCGGTTCGCTGTGGGATGCGCGAGCTCCGCCAACGAATCCACTCCGTCCAAACCACGCAAAAAATCACCGAAGCTATGAAACTCGTCGCCGCCGCTAGGGTCCGCCGCGCCCAGGAGGCAGTCGTCAACGGCCGCCCCTTCTCCTCAAACCTAGCTGCAATGCTGAACGACATCACCCAGAGCCTCCAAAACGACGACATTTCCACCCCTCTCACCGACGTCAGACCCATAAAGACCGTCGCCCTCGTCGTCATCACCGGCGACCGCGGCCTCTGCGGCGGTTTCAACAAATGGGTAATAAAAAAAGCCGTCACCCGAATCGAGGAGCTGAAGAAACTCAATCTGGGGTGCATTGTTATCAGTGTTGGCAAAAAGGGTAACTCGTTTTTCACACACAACATCGAAAAGACACACCCTTTTGTTAAAGTCGACAGCTTCATCGAAATTGGTGGTTTTCCCACCGCGAAGGAGGCTCAGGTCATTGCTGATGATGTTTTCTCATTGTTTGTTAGTGAGGAGGTTGATAAAGTTGAGCTTGTGTACACTAAGTTTGTTTCATTGGTTAGGTTTGAGCCTGTGGTTCAGACTTTGTTGCCTTTGGGTGAGATTTATGATGTGAAAGATGAGGTTTTTAGGTTGAGTTCCAAGGAGGGAAAGTTGGCTGTGGAGAGGGATGTTGTGAGGTTGAGGAAAGAGGGTGAGGTGTTTTTTCCTCTTATGGAGTTTGAGCAGGATCCTGTTCTGATTCTTGATGCCATGTTGCCTCTTTATTTAAATAGTCAAATTTTGGGGGCTTTGCAGGAGTCTGTGGCTAGTGAGCTTGCTGCTAGGATGGGGGCCATGGCTGCTGCCACCGACAATGCGGTTGAATTGAAGAAGCGGCTTTCGGTTGAATACAACCAGGAGCGGCAAGCGAAGATCACTGGGGAGTTGTTGGAGATTGTGGCTGGAGCTGACGCACTAACACCAATTGACTGATGAACGTGACTTGGTTTTGGTTTTCCTTTCAATTGCGTGAGGGAGATTGTAGCTGGAGCTGAGGTACTAACACCAATTGACTGATGAATGTGACTTGGTTTTGGTTTTGGTTTTCCTTACCATATATGGTGTTTAAGAATGAGCTTGGATCCTCTCTAGATTGATCTGGATCGGCCTCAATCTGAGTAGTTGAATTTGTCGCTGTACAACATTCAGGGAGAAAAGAAAATTGGATGTATAGTAGAGATTTTGGATGGAAATAAGTCTTTCAGGAGAGGCACCCTATGAGAAAGAAGCAAGATGTGAGCATTCTGGACGAGATTGAATTGTTTCCTCAAGAATTCTCTCTATTTGAGATCTTGATCTGGCACCACATTTTCTCTCCTCCCTGATTATTGAGTAATGATAAACTTAACAACTCTGATCGCAGTTGGATGGAATCCATCCAGTTGGAGAGGACCCAAGCTCAAGTGTTGTTGACTGTAGTTCATAACTTTATGAAACTTAGTCTTAAAATTTGTAAAATGTTGCAAAGTGTTATTCACTTTACCCTTGTGCCAATGAAAGTGGTAGAGAAAGTGGGAATGACACTTGAAAGTTGCAACATCCGGGAAACCAGGGATTGAAATGAGAGTTTTGTAAAGGTAGGATTAAAGTGAACGATGTTTCAATTTTGGATGCCAAAGTGAGGGTTTACACATTATGTGGTTGAAGTGTTTCCAACTTCACTAAGTCTGTGTTTGTTGCAAGTGATTTACTGTTTGAAAGGATAAAAAAGCGGGATGTTATTCGTTTGCATATGATATGAGAGAATATGCAAGCGCTGATTTGAGGGAGAGGGGAGGAAAGCTCACCCTGTTAAACAAAGAGGATTTGAGAGGATAGGCAGAGAAAGACACATCATCAAATGAAAATTAACTTATTTACCCTTCTCCATCTCCTGCATGTGAACACACAGTGCATGGAATCCACGGCTCCTCTAATTTATGCAATATATATATATATATATATATATATATATATATATATATATATATATATATATAATTAATTTAAAGTTTTTATATTGATGTAAAATAATAATTTACAATTATATTATTAGTTTTTATAATTATTTGTTATTATTAATCAATATTAATTATTATTTTATATTTTATAATTATTAGTCAAATAATTTATTTAATATGTCAAAATTATAATTTATTTATATAATTTTTAATAACTTGTATATATATATATATATAAATATAATTTTACATCAAAATTATATATCCTAAAATATAATTTATTTTCATTTCTATAATATATATATATATATATATATATAAATAAAAATAAGTTATATTGTGGAATATATATTTATATTATAGTAATTAATATAAATAATATTTTACAATATATATATATATATATATATATAAATATAATTTTACATCAAAATATATTTAAATAATTCTTGTAAGAGCGGTTAATAACTTAACCGCTCTTAAATATCAAAATATGATAGCGGTTCAAGGTTAACTGCTATCTAAAGTCTCGAGTATTTGAAAATATGATCGATTATTTTGGAAAAGTAATCGATCATATAATTATACATCAAAATAAATTTAAATTCGGAGCCTTTAGATAGCGGTTAACCTGAAACCGCTATCAGATGTGAACATATGATAGCGGTTCCAGCATTAACCGCTATCTAAAGTCTGGAGGATTTGAAAAAGTGATCGATTATTTTGGAAAAACGATCAATCATTTGCAAAATTATATCTTCTAAAATATAATTTATTTTCATTTCTATAATATATATACAAATGAAAATAAGTTATATTGTGAAATATATATTTTATATTATAGTAATTAATATAAATTATATTTTATAATATATATATATATAATTTTCTATCAAAATTATATATTCTAAAATATAATTTATTTTCATTTCTATAATATATATATAAATGAAAATAAGTTATATTGTGGAATATATATTTTATATTATAGTAATTAATATAAATTATATTTTAGAATATGTATATATATATATATATATATATATATATGTAAATATAATTATACATCAAAATAAATTCAAATTCTGAGCTTTTAGATAGCGGTTAATCCGGAATCGCTATCAGATGTGAACATATGATAGCGGTTCCAGGTTAACCGCTATCTAAGGTTTCAAGGAATTGAAAAAGTGATCGATCATTTTGGCAAAGTAATCGATCATTTGAAAGTTTATATCTTCTAAAATATAATTTATTTTCATTACTATAATATATATACAAATGAAAATAAGTTATATTGTGGAATATATATTTTATATTATAGTAATTAATATAAATTATATTTTAGAATATATATATATATATATATATATATATATAATTTTCTATCAAAATTATATATTCTAAAATATAATTTATTTTTATTTCTATAATATATATACAAATGAAAATAAGATATATTGTGGAATATATATTTTATATTATAGTAATTATTATAAATTATATTTTCGAATATGTATATATATATATATATATAAATATAATTATACATCAAAATAAATTCAAATTCTAAGCCTTTAGATAGCGGTTAACCTGGATCTGATAGCGGTTCCAGGTTAACCGCTATCTAAAGTCTCGAGAATTGAAAAAGTGATCGATCATTTTGGCAAAGTAATCGATCATTTGAAAGTTTATATCTTTTAAAATATAATTTATTTTCATTTCTATAATATATATACAAATGAAAATAAGTTATATTGTGGAATATATATTTTATATTATAATAATTAATATAAATTATATTTTAGAATATATATATATATATATATATATATATAATTTTCTATCAAAATCATATATTCTAAAATATAATTTATTTTCATTTCTATAATATATATACAAATGAAAATAAGTTATATTGTGGAATATATATTTTATATTATAGTAATTATTATAAATTATATTTTCGAATATATATATATATATATATATATAATTTTCTATCAAAATTATATATTCTAAAATATAATTTATTTTCATTTCTATAATATATATATATATATATATAAATGAAAATAAGTTATATTGTGCAATATATATTTTATATTATAATAATTAATATAAATTATATTTTAGAACATGTATATATATATATATATATATATATATATATATATATAAATATAATTATACATCAAAATAAAATCAAATTCTTGAGCCTTTAGATAGCGGTTAATCTGGAACCGCTATCGGATGTGAACATATGATAGCGGTTCCAGGTTAACTCGCTATCTAAAGTCTCGAGGAATTGAAAAAGTGATCGATCATTTTGGCAAAGTAATCGATCATTTGAAAGTTTATATCTTCTAAAATTAAATAATTGAGACTTTAGATAGCGGTTAACATGGAACCGCTATCATATGTTCACATCCGATAGCGGTTCCGGATTAACCACTATCTAAAGACTCTGAATTTGATTTTATTTTGATGTATAATTATATATATATATATATATATATATACATATTCTAAAATATAATTTATATTAATTACTATAATATAAAATATATATTCCACAATATAACTTATTTTCATTTATATATATATTATAGAAATGAAAATAAATTATATTTTATAATATATAATTTTGATAGAAAATTATATATATATATATATATATATATATATATATATATATTTGAAAATATAATTTATAATAATTACTATAATATAAAATATATATTCCACAATATAACTTATTTTCATTTGTATATATATTATAAAAATGAAAATAAATTATATTTTAGAATATATGATTTTGATAGAAAATTATATATATATATATATATATATATATATTCTAAAATATAATTTATATTAATTACTATAATATAAAATATATATTCCACAATATAACTTATTTTCATTTGTATATATATTATAGAAATTAAAATAAATTATATTTTAGAAGATATAAACTTTCAAATGATCGATTACTTTGCCAAAATGATCGATCACTTTTTCAATTCCTCGAGACTTTAGATAATCGGTTCGGTGAAACCTCTTCATCTCGGGCACAAAAAGAAAAGCGCCTATGGTTGATGTGATGGAAGGTCAATTTGACAAACTAACAATGAGGTCTGGACACATTTACAGATTACCTCGGGCAAGGTAATACATTGACCCAACGATTATCTGACATAGCTGAAAGACAGGTGATCGTCATTGAACGCAGAAATGAGTTAATTAATGAGTAAGTTAATGTGATGAGACGATCATCAACATTTCAACATTCGGAGTCAGATATATGGGACATGTTAGTCGGCATGAACCTAAATGACGAACAACTTATGCTTCAGTGTTAGAATCATTTGTGTACTCACGAATCACATGTTAGACGACTTTTTGGCTTGCCCTCACATCTTCGTCTCTCCCAGTTGTTCATGTTCTTGAGTGGAAGTGATTGAATGATCTGAACTGGAGGACTTGACTGCAAAAGATGAATAACATTATAATTATTTGTTTGAAGAGCATTAGTGTGCATAGGTTTATAATTTTAGTAATGTTTCATTTAATTATTATTCTATTTTCACTTGTATTTTATATTTGTTTTAAATAATAATGTACAATTATATTATTAGTTTTCATAATTATTTGTTATTATCAATCAATATTAATTATTATTTTATATTTTATAATTATTTAATTATTAGTCAAATAATTTATTTAATATGTCAACATTATTTGAATATGGATATGCAATGTACGTAATTTTGTAATTGTTTATTTATATAATTTTTTATAACTATCTAAAAAAAGTTAATTTTGTAAATTTGTTTCCAATTGCAAACACTTTTAAATTTGTTTTTTCTTTTAACTATATAATCAATGTTAAAATATGGATAATTAATTAAAAAATTATATTTATAATCATTTGAACCTTATTTTATACAAAGGGTAAAATGGTAATTTTCTTAAATAATCAATTAAAATTATAATTTTTATATCTCATATCAATCAAATCATTCATAATTTCCCATAAACTTTTCTTTCACTTTCCATTCATCCAAACAACTTTAATTTCATCTCCATTTCTCTTTAAATCTCTCCTTTTCCACTCTCTCATTTTCACTCTCTCAAATCACTCCAACCAAACAAAGCATAATAGAGTCTTAAAAGTTGATTGAAAAATCATGTGAAGAATTTTGACCCGTTTCGAAGAAAGGGCATTGCTTTCCTCTAACATCTCATCACTGTAGTTGCTTGCTTCTTGGTTTTGTAATTCAGGAGTTAAAACTCTGGTTTAATTAAATAAAACTCACAGGATCAAATCAAAAAAAGCTAATTTTGTTGGCAAATTTTGGGTCATGTATATATATCATACATATTTAAATGTGTTAGGGTCATTATTTATTAAGTCAAATAATAAAGTGATCTGACTAAATTAAAGTTTTGGCTAAAAGCATATGTCATGAAAATAAAATTGTGTAGAGACCATAGAACAATTTCTAATTTGATGAGGGGCCAAATTGGAAATACTAAAACTTAAGTAATTAACCTAATTCTGGTTATCTAAAGGGTCATGGTCCCCTTCTGAGAGCACACACACAGAACGTAAGTATCAATCCCGTTCCTTTCTTTCTATCCCCATCAAGAGAGAAAATCAAGAGGGAAAATACAGGTGCTCTTCAGGTGGAAGACCATAAGATCAATATAGTGCTCTACAAAGACATCATCGTTATGGCTAATTTAGGTACGCTTTCGCATTCGGTTACTGAGCATGTTTATCGGTATGGGATTATGTTTATGTTTGATTGTTAGAATCAAAATCAGGATTATTATTATTATTATTATTATTATTATTAATTTTCCAACAATTGGTATCGAGTCGCCCATATTTGATTCATGTCTGTTTAATTTATAGAACCCTAATTATGAAAATTAGGATTAATTTTGTTTTAAACAATTCAGATTACCCAATTTTATGAACCCTAAGTGGAGGATAATCTCTAATTTTTGTGAACCCTAAAATTTAAATTTGGGGGTAACATCCCCAATCTGATTACGCTTGTCGATGGAGCAGTGGAGGAAGCTATGGATTCTTCTTCTTCTTCGTTTTTCACTTTTGTTTCGAGTTTAAGTTTCAAGTTTTATCGAAAAAAAGAAACAGTGTTTCATATTTCAATTTTTCTTGTATTAAGTTCTCTGTTCTTTTTTGAATCTTTTGTTTTTATTTAATTTTATGGGTTTGGAATTGGGGGTGGTGTTTGTGGAGTTCCCAACACAGAGAATCTTAGGTAAATGATGAATGTTTCCACATGTTTGACTGTTATTATTTTATTGCATCTATCCCCTAGGAATTTAACGAAAATTTGATGTTAAATTAGGGTCCGAGTGATTACTTGTTTAATTCCCTTTTAGGGTTTAGAGCGAGTATGATAAAGAGACTCAGAACTATCTCTCGTTTCATCCCTAGTGTGATTTTAGGAAGATGTTCATCCTTTAGGTATTGGTGGAAAATGAGGCCTTTTTTTTCATCCTTTGATTTGTTATAATGAGGTGATTCTCTTTTGAATTAGTTTGCAAATATTAAATATTTGGTTTTGTTATATAAATAAAATATTCAATTTTTGGTAGTTTAATATTTTTTTGTGAGCAAATTGAGTCAAGAAGTCATCAAAGTAACTTCTCTTGAATTGGGCAGTTCATGAAAAATATTGAATGTTAGTGTTTGTGTATATTCATGCGAGTATTAGTCAGCTCAAAGGAAGATTAATATTTGGTCGAATTGCATACACACTTGTAATGATAAACATGTGATAATTATAAGGATTTGCTTTGTCGATGATAAATCAATCCAAAGACTGGTTTGTTGTTGGACGTGCTTTATTGTCAATGTTTGATTATTACAACAAGATACCTCTAGCAGTTAATATTACTGTCCAAAGACTTGATATTGATGGTGCATTGGGTATCTTGAGATGGGTTAAACCACTATTTGAATATATATTATTTATTTTTTATATAATGTGAGCATAATTAGTTTATTTCTTTTGTTCTAATCCAGCTACAATTGCTTCTGTATCTGCCAATTTAAATTATGTTCCGATCCTCAAAAGTATGTTTCCTACTTTGGTCTGTTCTGAAGTCAATTTAGCGTCAGTACCCAATAACACTTGGTGGTTAGACTCAGGTGCAACTACTAACATCAGTGTTTCTATAAAGGGTTGCCTAAGTTACCGGAAGCCAATTGATTCTGAAAGATGGATATATGTTGGAGATGGCAAATCGGTAGAGGTGGAAGCCATAGGGCATTTTAAATTGTTATTGAGTACTGGTTTTTATTTGGATTTGAAAGACACTTTTGTTGTGCCGTCATTTAGACGGAATTTGGTTTCAGTTTCTTATCTGGACAAATTAGGTTATTTGTGTTCATTTGGAAACAATAAGTTCAGTTTGTCTTTTAATTCAAATATTATTGGAACTGGTTCATTTTTGCCTTATGATAATCTGTATTTACTTGATACTATGACCACCTATAATGAAACCCTTAATACAGAATCACGGGGTACTAAACGTAAAATTAAAAATACTCATTCAGGTGCATTATGGCACAAGTGTTCAGGTCACAATCAAATCGTGACGTTTGAGCTTGTGTTACACTCTTAAAGATATGGTAGAGAGTATGATTTGTCATTCCACCTTACCGGAGTCACTCTGGCAATTTATATTTTAAACAGAGTACCAACTAAAGCAGCTACCAAAACACCTTATGAGCTTTGGATTGGGCGACAACTTAGTCTGAAACATTTCCATGTGTGGGGTTGTCCAGCTGAGGCAATGTCTTATAAGCCAAATGAAAAGAAATTGGACTCCCGAACAGTAAGTGGTTATATTATTGGTTATGCTGAAAGATCCAGGGGATATAAATATTATGATCCCACATTAAAGACAATTTTTTGAGACGGGAACTGCTACGTTCTTTGAGGATATTGAGTTTGGGGGGAAGAATAAGATCAGGAACTTTGTCTTAGAGGAAGAATCGGTAACAATTCCAGAACCGATTCAAACAGTTACTTTTGATAAAGTAAGTTTGGAACCTCCACAATGCATTGTTAATGAACCCCTTACTCAAGATGATTTGGTTGTTCATGAAGAACAAACTCAAGATCCTCAAGAACCTGTGCATCATGAGCCAATAACTTTGCAGAGATCCACTAGAGAAAGAAGAAGTGCTATTTCAGATGATTACATGGTATTTCTTCAGGAACATGAAGATAATAATGGTATGATGGAAGATGACCCAGTTAACTTCCGTCAAGCCATGCAAGGTTCTAACTCTGAAAAGTGGATTGAAGCAATGAAGGAGAAGTATAAGTCCATGCAAGACAATAAGGTTATTGGGAACTTGTCCCATTACTAGAAGATATGAAACTCATTTGGCTTCAAGATGAATATTGTTGATGATTGTATGTATCACAAGTTTAAAGGGAGACAAATTTAGTCTCAATCAGTGCCCAAAGGGAATTTGGAAATTGAGGAAATGCAAAAGATTCCCTATGCATCAGCTGTAGGGAGTTTGATGTATGCCCAAGTATGTACGCGTCCAGACATAGCATACATAGTTGGGGTTCTAGGCAGATATTTAAGCAATCCAGGAATAGACCATTGAAAAGCAGCAAAAAGGGTCATAAGATATTTAAAGAGAACAAAAGATTATATGCTCACATATAGGAGGTCAGACCAGTTGGAGATCGCTGGATTTTCTGACTCGGACTTTGCAGGATGTCAAGATAGTTTGAAATCCACTTCAGGTTACATTTTCATGTTAGCAGGTGGTGCGGTTTCTTGGCGCAGTGTCAAGCAAACCCTTACAGCTTCATCCACCATGGCAGCAGAATTTGTAGCATGCTATGAGGCGTCGAATCATGGAATATGGCTGAGAAATTTTGTCACAGGGCTGCAAATTGTGAAAGGCATTGAAAGACCACTTAAGTTATATTGTGACAATAAATCAGCTGTATTGTTAAGGAAAAAGTACAAAGTGGACAGATTTTCATAGAACATTT